GATATGCGCCATGCTCGATGCACCGATGAGGACCGCATCTCCGAATTCGCGCTTCATCAGAGAATGATGCATGGTCCAGCGCAACGCCACTTCAATCATCGTAAGGCCGTGTTTGTCCGCTGCTGCAGAGATTTTGTTTAACCCGTCAAAATATGCTTGCTGCCAGTATCGCTTGCGGTAGAGCTGGTAAGAGGTGTCAAGCACGGGAAAAATAACGAGTCGATTGGATCGATCTTACAGTGCTGACACGTCCTTCGCCAGAGAAGCGGGAGGTGCTATCCGCTTCGTCGGTAATGCTGGAGTACCGACCCGTAAAGAATCCCCCGCCCACAGGGTTGAACCCGTAAAATGCAATCCCAAATTTACGCAAGCAGGGGAAGAGCTCGGGTTCAACGGTCCGAAGGATCGCGTTGTAGAGGCCCTGATACACAGTCGGCTTGATCCAGCCGTTGCGCTCACAGATCCCGCAAAGCTCGGCCACCTCCCATGACATGTAGTTGCTGATCCCCAAACGCTTGAACTTGCCCTCCTTGTAGAGCTCGTTTACAGCGCGTAGTGTGTCTTCGAAGGGGGTCTTGCGGTCCGGACCGTGCAGATACCACATTTCAATTGTGCTGAGTGATGATGGTTCAGTCATTGCAGCATCAGCTGCAGAGAGAGCACGCACTCGGTCTTGAGAGCATCTAGAGACATCTGGCAGAACTTGCGGATGCTGGCGGGCGAGTGATTTCCGGCGAAGTCCGTTTCCGGCTGATTCAGTCAGTGTCGAATATGTGCACAGGGCAGAGATTTTGCGAACTGAGACCGGGTACAGCTTTGTCTCCATCAGCACGCCCTTGTTCTTCCAGTCGATCTGCCCGAGGTACTGTTCATTCGTGCCATTGCCATATACGCGTGCTGCATCTATCTACGGGTGCACCAGTCATGTGTGGAAAGTGAATTGTGGGGAAGAGAACGCACCTCGCGATGACCGTGGCTGAGAAATTCATCGATAATGGCCTCGATATCTTTAATATCTGAAAGACGCGCCCCTAGTGTCCCCGGTGCCCCGAAAGTCATGGCACCCTGTGGGTAGTAGATCAGAGGTGGTGTCCACAATACAGACTCCCGCAACAGCGCACCAAGACAATATTGACAGCGGTTTTTTGGCCAGGGTACGGAGAGCTCATGTTCCGAGTCGATTTCGATGTGCAGGGGACGTTGTGGCTCGAATAGACCGGAAGATGAGCTTTTAAAGCAGCACTGGGAGTGAGTGACGTTATTGAATGGTGGCTGTGAGATAACCCATTTGTGTCACGTGTGCGTCCGTGATGATCGGCGACTACGCGGATACCATGCCGCTGATTAACGCTAGCCTCGTAAGCCTTGGCAGATCTGTTGTTAGGAATTATGGCGATACCAGCGATATTAGGCTAGAGCCATGTCAGCTGATTGACTAATTTTGCACCCCCCTCCCCTCTTATTGACACAACCTGGACTGCTTTTCTCCTGAGGTAGAATGAAACCATTTCACAGTTCTGTTTTTTTCGGACCGGAGAGTTGCGGCAGAAGGACGAAAAGTTCTTGATTGTGGCTTCTCCGGTCCGTAATTCATGTCCAAGTTGTCGCATGATCTATAACGGTCTCTCAATGGCCAATGGGACTTGGGTCATTTGAGCAGTCAACCAAGGTCCTTCTGGAGCAGGGCAGGACCTCTGATTATGCCTTATAAGGCTAGCGCCAAAATAAATCTGAAATTGGCCAGTTTTGTCTGGCATGTTTCTGCCTGAAAATGACGGATTTTGTCCGGAAACACGCTAGCCCCCCCCCCCCCCCCTAAATTTGCTTTTTTTTTCTTGCCAAATTTAACAATTTTTCTTATTCCCAACGCCGGAAATGTATAGAAAGTAACAACATCTAGCAGTGTCCAACTACTTGTTGTTGCTGCTCATTTCCGGTTGTCCTATACAGGCTCTAATCTGCTTCTTTGACAAATTCAGCTTAGCTAGTAAAAAAAAACTTGGATTGGCAGCATGAGCCTGATGGAGATCCCTCAGATAAAAGTATCCACTGGGAATCAAACAGGAGAGTCCCCCAAAACAAAAACCCTACTATGGTTTCTCTGCTTTGGGGAAGAGAAGCAGTACGTGCAAGGCCACTCATCCGGTCAGCCGGAACCTGCACTCCATGGCAGGCCAGCACTGGTTTGTTGTCTCCCAGCTTGGGCTTTGTGTAAGTGAACCACCATCAGTTGCTTGGTACCTTAACAATTGCTGTCGCTGCGCTCTCACAGAAAACTTGTTTTTTCCTCCTGTTGAGCACTGGGGAGAGCATCTAGCAACCCACCTGTGTGAGTTGAGAGCTTAGTGTGGGCACTATGCAGGAGTAGTCAAGAGACTTGTATTAAAGGGTCATAGAGCCCTCCTTATATATGATACAGGGGGCTGTTTGTGTCTATTTAGGACGAGTCAACATAACTCTAGATGACACATGATGGAGTCATAGATGTGTATCACGACGTCCATCTTGACAGATGATAATTGATCGACACTCCCCCATGCTGAAAACCATGGGATAGTGTTTGAAAGCGAAATCTTCATTGGCCATTCCTTCAGGACGAGTTGAACTCAAGTCCTAGTTGAGATCTGAACTTCTTGAACTTGATGCATCCTAGGTTCTTGGTGAACATATCTGCAGGATTCTCACTGCCCGGGATAAAGAACAGTTCAACCTCTTCTTCCTCGACTTGCTCACGAATGTAGTGATAGCGGATGTCTTTGTGTTTCATCCTGTGGTCTCGGTAGGCATTGCTGCCACTGAAGAGTGCACCCTGATTGTCACCGCAAATGGGTACTGGGATGGTGAGCTTGAACTGGAGTTCCGAAAGGACGCTCTTCAGCCACATCACCTGGCAACTACAATCTGAGATTGCCATGTATTCTGCTTCGGTCGAAGACTGCACAACAGTGCGCTGAAGTCTAGACTGCCAGCAAATAATCCCATCTGCCAGTTTTGTGAAGAAACCAGTGGTAGACCTCCTCTTGATTGGATCAGCAGCCCAGTCTGAATCGCTAAAGGCAATTAGCCCTCTATCTGTTGCACCATTGAAAATGAGTGAATAATTCCTAGTACCAGCCAAATAGCGGCAGATATACAGCGCTTTATGGAGGTGGTCTTGGGACGGATTTGCGGCAAATTGTAACAATTTAGTCACAGCAAATGCAATATCAGGACATGTGCCTAGCATGATGAAGAGAAGAGATCCAATTACTGATTGGAATTTCTTCCTGAGCTCAGGATCAACTTCATCCTTGTTTGGCATTGGAACATATCCAGCCGGTAGAGGGGTCGCTGTGAACTTGGCGTTCTGCATCCCAAAGCGCTCTAGTACCTTGTCGAGATAGGGAATCTGATCAATCTTGATCGAAGATCCTACTCTACTGAGGCGTACGCGCAGGAACTCTGGAGTATCTTCAGAATTGCAGCATTCCCATCGCTTGTTGAATTCAGCCTTGAGAAAGGCAAGGAGCTTCTTGTTCTTGGAGAAGAACAGTGCATCATCCACATAGACTATTATGACAGCAACACTGCCATCAGCATCCTTGTAGAAGAACACGCCGGCATCCAATGTTAGTCAGATCCAGCCCATGGCTTTTGTGGACTTGGTTAGTGCTTTCCACCATGCTAAGGCAGCTTGTTTGAGTCCATAGATTGCCTTGTGTAAGCGCATGACTTTGCGCTCTTGGCCTCTTGCCACAAAGCCTTCGGGTTGTTCCATGTAGACCTCTTCGTCAAGCTCTCCGTAGAGAAAAGCCTTACTGACATCGAGTCCAGACCAATGCCAATCATTGAGCGCTGCAAGCGCCATGACCAACCGGAACGTCTGTCATAACTCGACTCTTTTTCATCTTATCATCGACGATCTTATCTTATCTTGGCACGACTTATCTTATCACGGATCACGGCATCAGACGGTCCGGGCTAGGGGTTCCAGGGGATTATCCTTATCAATTCAAGGCTGCGCGACATATGCTCCGGAAGGTTCTACTACAACCCATGACCAGTGCTCCATGCGGTACATAGCCCTATGACTCATTAGTTGTAGATATGACTCAGACTGGATTTGGGTATAAATACTGTAGCTACTTGGTTGTATTCCCCAGTCTTCGAATTCAGTTCTCTTTTCGACATTATTTCTTGTTGATTATCACATAATTCGAAGACTCCCCTCATACCCTCGTACCTCTTACCTCCTACCCTGCATCACCGCACCGCTACGCCCGCTATATCCTCTTCATCCTTATCACCCCACTTACCCTTTTACCGAATCATCCAGTCGTCCTCTGCGATCGCAGTGAAGGGTTCATATCAAGCAAACAGCACCAGGCCACGGGTAACGTTGAGCCCGACCCAAGCCTAACGGTAGCTACAATGCGGAGACCTTCGGGAAAACGCACCTCGGGATCATCGGGCACGTGAAGAGCTAGGCCCGGGATCCTTTTGCTAGCAAAAGAACCCTCCCTCGAGTGCTTGTACAGCACACGAATCCACCATTTCGTTCCGATTCCCATCGTCGTCTGGGAGTCCGTCTCCTCCTCCCATCCTACCATCGTTGCCCGATCTGGCGCATCAAAACCAACCCGGGCCCTCCAACCCCTACCTTGCCCTCCCGCCTCCTGAAGACGAGATCCCCGACCTTGACGAGTTACCCTCCGAACAACCACCCTCGCCCCCACCTACCACACCTGCTCCTACCATGTCAGGACATCACCGCATCACCCTCGCCGCCAATCCTCCCTACTTCGATGGCGACAAGTCCAAGTACCTGGGCTTTGTGGACGCGTGCACCACTTACATCGGTGCCTATTGGTCGGAGTTCTCGCTGGACGAGAAAAAAATCCTCTTCGTCCTGTCCTACCTCCGAAATGAGAGCGGCACAAGCTGCGCCGCCTCGAGATGGGCGATGAACTGGAAGCAGCACAATTTCGAGGGCTTCCAAGGACTAAAGGCGGGAGTCACCGCAACAAGCTTCTTGGAGGAGCTTCAGAGGGCCTTTGGGGATTCCAACGCAGAGCAAGTCGCTGCCGCCCGACTCATGGCCCTTCGCCAGGGCAGACGGTCCTTCGCGGACTACATCTCCGACTTCGAAATGCTGGCTGCAGACGCGGGGTACAACGTGGTCACTTCCACCGACAGCAAGGGCGAGTACAAGAAGGGGGAACAGGACAACATCCTCATCGAGTTCCTGGAGCGCGGACTCAGCAGCGAAATTGCAAGCCGCCTCTACAACACTGGCGTTCCCCTGCCCAAGGCATATGGTGCCTTCAAGAACTGGTGTGTCAACATCGAGGCGAACGCTCTACGCGATCAGCTGCGCAAAGCATCGCATGCGCAATCCGCACCACAACCGCCTCCCCAATTCCGCCCGCAGGTAGCCCCAATGACACCTGCACCCGCCCCGGCCCGACCCGCTGCCAACGAACCGGTTCCGATGGAAATTGATCGCACCCACGCCCGCGGCCGCAATATCATCTGCTACAACTGTCAGCAGCCTGGACACATTGCGCGGAATTGTCCGGAGCCCAAGAAGAAGCGCACGTTCTTCAATCGGGCCACAATGCTGGAAGAGATCGAGAACGGGGACAAAGACAACGAGTTCCTCAAGGAGATTGCCGAGAAGCTGCGCGAGAAGGGTTTTTGAAGCGCTCCACTCCTCTAGCCAAGGAGGTGGAGCGTCCGGACTATGGACGATTTTCTGTACTTGTTTCAATTAAAGACATGAACGATTCTGCACATACATATACAATCTCGGACTCACTACGTACCAACATTCACGATTTTCTCATTGCTGATATGGAAAAAGAACGCCAACGAAAAATAGCTTTAAATAGAGAGTATTTACAAAGTAAAAAGGATCAGAAAGCTGCAGATAAATTAATTTTGGATTCATACGTATTTATGGCTCGTGGAGAAGGAACCACGTCAACAAAGACCGAAAAGGGGAGCATCGCTCCGAAGGCTCAATCCTTGGGAAAGGAGGAAGCGCCTAAGGAATTTGCCGAAATCGAGGTTCCAGAAGCACCCAAACGCACCAGGGTGCCAGATGCCGTCCAGAGGAAATTGGCGGCCGAGAGACAGAAGGGCCCGCAGCCTGGCAGACTGGCACAGGAATTGCGCGACTACCAGGCCGAAAGGAGGAGACATTCGATGGACGTATATGTCCAGATTACGGGTCTGGACTCAGGGAAAACGCGCGGAGTCAAGGCGCTGCTCGATAGTGGCTGCAGTACCTGTTGCATCGATACCGACTACGCACGGGCGGAGAAGTTGGATATTCAAGAGCTCCCACAACCCATTGTGGCCCGTAACGCCGACAACACCGAGAACATCAGCGGTCGGATCACGCATTACGTCGACCTAAGGATGAAAATCGGTCCCCATGTGGAGACACGCACGTTCCTTCTGACGTGTTTAGGGAAGGCTCGGATCTTCATTGGTCTTGATTGGCTGATGGAACACAACCCCGAGGTGGATTGGCAGGAGCAGACCATGAGATTCAGCCGATGCCCAGAGCGATGTCACATGAGGGGTCACGAGGAACATCAAGCAATGATTGACATGGATGCAATCGACCTGGACACGGGCACACCGGATCTGGAAGAGGGAGAATCGATCCTGTTGGTCGATTTTGGGAAGGAAGTGGATCTGCGGCTGAAGGAAACGCCGGCGCAGAAATTCGCAGAAGAAGCGGAAAAAGAGAAGGAGAGGATGACCGAGGGGAAGATTCCGGATCAATATCGGGAATTTGTCGAAGTATTCGCCAAGGAATCGTTCGACTCGCTACCAGACCGACGGGCATGGGATCACGCAATCGAGCTCAAGCCTGGTTCCAAGGCAGTGGACTGCAAGGTGTACCCATTATCACGCAATGAACAAATCAAACTCGATGAATTCTTACAAGAGAACCTGGCCAGTGGCCGGATCAGGCCATCAAAATCACCCATGGCATCAGCATTCTTCTTTGTCAAGAAGAAGGATGGCTCGCTACGCCCCGTCCAAGACTATCGGAAGCTGAATGAGATGACGATTCGGAATCGATACCCGCTGCCGCTGATCTCCGAACTGGTCCATAATCTATGCGGCGCCAAGTTCTTCACAAAACTTGACATCCGGTGGTGATACAACAACGTACGGATCAAAGAGGGCAACGAGTGGAAGGCCGCGTTCCGCACAAACCGCAGACTGTACGAGCCCTTGGTCATGTTCTTTGGTCTCACAAATTCCCCGGCAACCTTTCAAAATATGATGAACGACATACTCCGAGAACTGATCAATGAGGGCCACGTGGTAGTTTATCTTGATGATATATTGATCTTCACAGAGAACTTGGACGAACACCGACGGATCACAAAGCAAGTACTCGAATTGCTCCAAAAGCACAAGTTGTACCTGAAACCCGAAAAGTGCGAGTTCGAACGCACGGAAATCGAATATTTGGGTGTAATTATTGGACATAATTCGATGCGGATGGACCCAGTCAAGATCAAGGGTGTGATGGAATGGCCAGAACCAAAGAGCGTCAAACAGGTCCAAGCCTTCCTCGGATTCACGAACTTCTATCGGCGCTTTGTCCGGGGATACGTGGAGGTTGCCAAGCCGTTGACACGGCTGACAGGGAAGGCAGGATGGTCATGGGGTGCAGAAGAGCGTGCAGCATTTGATGGGTTGAAGAAGAGAATCGCGGAGGATGCGGTCTTAGCACTGCCAAATGACACCGGCCAATATCGTCTGGAAGCCTGTGTATCGGAAGGGGCAACAGGATCTGTTTTGAGCCAAAACCAAGACGGCATTTGGCGTCCAATCGCATTTATTTCGCATGCATTAACCGAAACCGAGCGAAATTACGAGATCTACGACAAGGAAATGCTCGCAATCATGCTATCACTGGACGAATGGAGGCAGTTACTCCTGGGAGCCACGGAAACGTTCGAGATCTTCACCGATCATCAAAATCTCGAGTACTTCCGAAAGCCGCAGAAGCTCAATCGACGGCAAGCACGATGGATCACGGAGTTGGCGGAGTTTGATTTCACCTTACGACACCGACCCGGCGCACTCAACCGCAAGGCGGACCTCCTGTCTCGACGAGCAGATCACGATCAGGGCAAGAACGACAACAAGGACGTCACGCTACTGAAGCCCGAGTTCTTCCGATCACAAGAAGTCACATTCGAGGGACAGGATCAGCAGCTAATCGATGAAATCAAGGCCTTTCGATCAATTGATGGAAGCGTCAAGGCGGCCTTAGAGAAGTCACTCGTCGGATGGAAGAAGGAAGAGGGGCTTATCACGTATCATGGGAAGCTCTACGTACCAAGAGACGAGGAACTGCGAGACAAGATCATCGGGCTACACCACGACACACCCTTGGTCGGACACGCTGGGATCAATCGAACGCAGGAAATGGTGGAAAGGAACTACTGGTGGCCAAGGATGGGAAACCAAATTCGGAAATACATCCAGACGTGCGAAGCGTGCCAACGGACCAAGACCAGAAGAGCCAGGACAGGGAGTTTGCACCCGCATGCAGTTCCAAACGCGCCGTGGGAAATCATCTCCATGGATCAGATCGGACCCTTGCCGGTCAGTAACGGGTATGACGCAATTCATGTGTGGTGTGACACCTTCACCAAAATGATCCATGTCGAACCAATTAGTACTGACATCAGCAGCGAAGGAGTGGCACGGTTAACCAGGGACCGAGTCTTCCGCTACCACGGGATCCCTCGCAAGATCATCACCGACAGGGATTCGCGTTACATCAAGGGCTTCATGAGGGAGACGAATTGGATGTTGGGCGTGGAAATGAACCCGGGGACCGCATATCACCCGATCACGGATGGGCAGACAGAACGCATGAATCAGGAGATCGAACATTATCTCCGCATCTACGTCAATTACCATCAGACGGACTGGTCGGAGTGGCTGGGAATGGCGGAGTTCGCATACAACGACAAGATGAACACGTCTACCAAAATATCGCCATTCTATGCGAATCACGGATATCACCCGTGGAAGGGAGTCGAGCAACGAATGGAGTCAAGGAACGAGTCGGCGGAGGAATTTGTAAAAAGAATCAAAGAAATACAAGACGAAGCAAAAGCAGCACTAGAAAAAGCAAAAGAAAAAATGAAAAAATACTACGATAAACAAAGAAAAGAAGTTCCGGAGTTGAAGGTTGGGATGAAGGTGTACATAGAAGGGGAAAATATCGAGACGGATAGACCATCAAAGAAGATGAGCGACAAGAGATTGGGACCATACGAGATACTGGAGAAGGTTGGAGCGGCCGCATGGAAGCTGGATTTGCCGGACACGGACCGAAGACACCCGGTGTTCAACGAGTCACTATTGACACCTTATCATGAACCACCCCCCCATCGCCGAGAGAAGAGACCCGTAGCCAAGATGATCGGAGGAGCAGAGGAGTGGGAAGTCGAAGAAATCGTGAAAGAACGAAAAGTCGGCCGAGGAAAACAGTACTTGGTCAAATGGAAGGGATGGCCGCACAGCGAGAACACCTGGGAACCATCACGACACCTTACCCACGCGAAGAAGGTCCTGAGAGATTGGCAGAGGAAACAACCCAACCCAGACACACGCATTCGCCTCCTACCAACTTTCGAAGCCGGACATTGGGATTATCTCATCCATCGCTACAAACCCAAAGACGAGCGCCTTCCATATCCCCAGCGACAACTCTTCGATCCCTACGAAAACATCTTCACGCCCATCGGCCTAGTCGATGAGGACATCGACCCTAGAGAGGGGGTAATGTCATAATTCGGCCACTTTTTATCTTATCTTCAACGATCTCATCTTATCTTGGCACGACTTATCTTATCACGGATCACGACATCAGACGGTCCGGGCTAGGGGTTCCAGGGGATTATCCTTATCAATTCAAGGCTGCGCGACATATGCTCCGGAAGGTTCTACTACAACCCATGACCAGTGCTCCATGCGGTACATAGCCCTATGACTCATTAGTTGTAGATATGACTCAGACTGGATTTGGGTATAAATACTGTAGCTACTTGGTTGTATTCTCCAGTCTTCGAATTCACTTCTCTTTTCGACTTTGTTTTTGGGTTGATTGTCACAGATAGTTCCAGATCCCAGCAGCAGAAGTCGCATTCGATTCTGGAATGTTAGCCCTAACAGCCTCGGTCAGGTGCAACTTAATGCTGCCTTTGGCCTTTAGGTCATCGGTCTTCCA